TAAAGATCCCAGACTTGGGTTTTAAAGTCTCCATGGTTTCTCTGTGTCCTTGAGTCCTTGTAGCAATTGCCATTGTTACTGCAGACCGCCAACTGAGCAAAGAACCATCTTCAACAATGTGTCTGGGAAGCCAAAATTCTAGTTGATGAAAACCAAGGACTGGCTCATTACAGTGCTTCAAAGGTAACGGGAGATTACCTGATACATCAAGTTAGAAGCTTTTCCAGCTAGGATCCCATTCCATCTTTACAGCAAGAGGTAGTCAGCCTGGCAGGATGCTTTAGTTTTTGCTCTTGACCCTTCTTTATTTTAAGCAAAGTAACACATACTATTTGTCCTAGCCAGGGGTCTGTTCTGGTAAACTATACTTTGGAAGCCCAGAATGGTGCCATACATCTGTAATCCCAGAATTAGGGGGCTCAGGCAGGAAAACTAAATTCTAGGATAGCCCTGGCTACAGAAAGGAGACTTTTACTCAAAATAAGAAGTCTGGTTGGGGCCTTGGCCGTGTTGTTGCTGGCTACCTTCATACCATGACGTCAGAATGCAATATCTTCCTGAGACCACATGCAGCAAGTCCTTAACTAACGCCAGGGCTGTTTGCCAATCTCTGCATGTCAGCCGTAATCTTGCTATTTACCTCTACAGTGCTAAATAACATGGCTGTGTGGGTACATTCTCTATGCTCCCAATTTTGCCAATATTTATTAACTTCCTAATTTGAAATACAAAAATGTAACTTCTTCCCAAAGCTTTAAGTGTGTGTGAACACGCACATATAAATACTTACCATTCCTCTATCAATATGATGTCTTCATTTAAGTTATAATGGATGGGAATTCATATGTGTTACCATGACTATTATCTGTTATGTGGAATGTACAATTATCTTTCACCCTTGTACATCATTTTAATTTTTCTGGAGTTAGTGTAAAAAAAAAAAAAAACTAAAATAGTTAGATCACACAAAGATTTCAGAGCAAGGACAGTTATGGTAAAGATGGTAATTTCATAATGAAAATGGGGTCAACTAATTAAGAACATATGACATTCTTAAAATATTTAATATATCTAATAATTGACTTTCAGAATATAAAAAGCAAAAACTGATCTTATTTCAAATCCTTAAAGACAGAAAGTAGACTGATGGCTGCCTGGGGTCAGAGGACTTGGGGTTGGGGGAGAGACACTAACAGGGTTTTTAGAGTATAGAAAGTATACTAAAATTTACATGGTAACATTCTGAATATCAACTATTGAGTCGTATTTTCAATGGTAAACTTGAATTTTCACTGGTGAATTACATGTGTGCTTATGTGTAGGAGAGGGTTGCATATTTGTGCCGTGGAGGCCAGAGGGGAACCTACAAGGCCATTCATCAGCACTATCCGCCCTCCCCTCTCTCTCATCTAGAACTCACCAAGCAAGACAGGATAAAGCTGGTTGGTCAGGTGTCTCCATCTCCTCCAAGGCTAACATTATACTTTATGTGCATTTAAAAGCAAGTAAGCAAACAAACAAACAAACATGGGTTCTAGGGATTAGATTCAGCGCTTTGTGTTTGTAAGACAAACATTTTATCCTCAGCATAGCTGCTTTCCAAAAAAGAATTTAGCTGGGTGTGGTGGAACTCTGGAGGCACATGCAAGCAGATCTCTGAGAGCAGAGATTACATGGTGAGATCCTGTCTTCTATTTAAAAAAAATGTAAGAGATGTCATGTTAGATAGTAATCAACATCCAAACAAAGATATAGAGACATCAGAACTGGTAAATATGTGGGTAAGTGCAAAAAAGAAAAAAAAATTTTTTTTTTTGAGACAGGGTTTCTCTGTGTAGCCTTGGCTGGCCTGGACTCACGTTGTAGACCAGGCTGGCCTTGAACTCACAGCGATCCACCTGCCTCTGCCTCCCAGAGTGCTGGGATTACAGTACTCTGTAATCTGCGCCACTGCGCCTGGCTAATTCTTTTTTTCAAGATTGTATGTGCATGTGTGTATGTGCACCACCTCTGTGCCTGGCCATGTTAAGAGGCCAGAAGAAAGTTCTAGATACCCTGGAACGAACTGGGGTTCCAGAGTTGCAGAGGCACCATGTGAGTGGCAGGAGTTGAACCCGTGGTCCTCTGCTCTCACATAGTACCAAGTGCAAATTCTCTAGACAATTCTCAAATTTCTCAAAATTCTCAAAACAGTTTCTCAGCCTCTACTGATTGACCCAAACATAGCAAAGGCTTTGCTGAAACATTTCAATCAAAGCCAGGCAGAAAGGCTTTGTTATTCATTTCACTACAGTGGTAGGGCACAATTTTGAGCTGGATTGACACACACTTCAAGCTTGAAGCATACCATTAGTCTGGGCCATACCTTCTGCTGGAGACCTCCATAAGGACGATAGGAAGGGGTTGTTCGTTCTTCTCCTGCTTACACACATCCACTGGAGCCTACTTCTTTGGGATTCCAGCTTATACATAGACCTGCTGAGACACCCAGCCTCATGGGACTGAGCAACTCCTAGATTGTTGGACTTTCGTTCACAGCCGGCAATTGTTGGGTTAGCTGAACTACAAGCAACCGTACGTCATTACAGACTGACAGGAAGTTGAGTTGTTCCATAAGTTCTGTGCTACTAGAGAACCCTAATACACAGCCACTTCAGCAGAAGTATTTAAACATTCCAATGACATTATCAAATAGCAAGCATTAAAAAGACTCAGTATATACTCTCAGCAAGAAAGCCAATGTGAATATAAACATATCACAAATATGCTAAAACGGGTTAAAAGTAAAAAGATTTTTTAAAAGGCATACTATGTTAATATTAATCAAACAGAACCAGTTATACCAAAACAGGAATGAATAAAGGCTCACTTTTTTTCCCCTCTGCAGTATGGGATTTCAAACCCAGGGCTAGCTCAGAGACAAGGGAAAGCACCCAGCTGACCTTCGTTCTCAGCTCAGATCTAGATGGACAAAACCCAAAAGGCTCACTAGCTCAGCTAACAGCCCAGGAGGAAAAGGCAAAAAAACAAAAACAAAACAAAAAAACCCAAGACCCAACGACCCAGCTCAAAAAGCCCTTCCTATTTCTCTAAGCTGTTTTATATACCTGTCAACTCAAAGTCCCTCCCACTCTTTAATCCCTGTCAGCTGGTTTCGTGTTCCACCTCTGGACCTAGGGTTAATTTTAGTAACTCCTGTGTACAGAAAGCTCTTAGATTAAAGGTGTATACTAGGGCTTTGTGAACCACACCACAATCACCTGTTTGCAATAAACAGAAAGTTCTTGGATTAAAGGTGTGTGATAGGGCTCAACCACACCAAACAAGCAACTTTTTTTACAGTTCAGAGTTTTTGGTTTCACAATAGGATCAAATATCCTGCCACAGGTAAACTCCTTTCTTTGAAACATAACCCAGGCCTCAGGGGCACTTCCTTTTGATACCAGAGTTCTCACCACTCCACATGTTCATATGATTTCCAAATATATAAGGGGGGAAAAAACAGAACAGAGAAACACTAACTTAATAGACTTTTTGCAATTGGTCTCTTTTTAAATAATATTTATTATTATTTATTCACTTTGTATCCCAGCTGTAGCCCCCTCCCTCATCTCTTCCCCATCCCACCCACCCTCTCTCAACTCCTGCTATGTCCTTCCCCGAGTCCACTGATAGTGGAGGTCTTCCTCCCCTACTATTTGACCATAGCCTATCAGGTCTCATTAGGACTGTCTGGATCCTCTTTCTCTGTGGCCTAGTAAGACCAACCCGCCAGGTGTTGGTGATCAAAGAGCTGGCTACTGAGTTCATGTCAGAGACAGCCCCTGCCTCCCCTTACTAGAGAACCCACATTAAGACTGAGCTGCCCATGGGCTACATCTGAGGTCTAGGTCCTCTCCATGCATGGTCCTTGGTTCATCAGTCTCTGCAGGAGCCCCTAAGCCCAGATTTTTTGGGCTTTGTCTCCTTGTGGAGACCTCCTTGTCCCCTCCAGGTCTTTCTATCTCCCCCCTTTTCCATAAGATTCGCTGTACTCTGCCCAAAGTTTGGCTATGAGTCTCAGCATCTGCTTTGATACCCTAATGGGTAGAATCTTTCAGAGGCCCCCTGTGGTAGGCCCCTGTCCTGTTCTCTGTCTTGTCCTATTTCTGATGTCTATCCTGTTTGCCATTCTGAAAGAGGAGTAAGCCTCTTCCCTCGGGTCCTCCTTGCTGTTTAGCTTTAGGACTATAGAATTTAGTGTGTTTATACTGTATTATATGGCTAATACCCAGTTATAAGTGACTATATGCCATGTCGGTCTTTCTGCTTCTGGGTTTCCACCTTGCCTTGTAGTCCAGAATACCCTCCTGCCTCAGCCTCCTGAATGACAGTAATTCATTGCAGGCGTGGCACCGCATTAAAAAAAAATCCTCTGGCCATATTTCGTCTGTGCACATAGGAAGGCGGTCTCAAACAAAGGTCAAAGCGGTATCAGATATGACCCTGTTCCTATGCCTGGGCACCACTAACATACTGTTTCAGTTCTCGGCAGGGGCCTTCAGGAGAAAGTTTTGTTGTCGGATAGTCAGGGTGATCTAGCAAGACCCTGTTTGAACAAAATAATCAGTTCTCACTGACGTACTATTTACTGCCTTTCGTTTTCGAATAAGCCAGAGGCGGCTACTCTGAGCAGCCCAAAAGAAAAACAGACGGCGTACCTGTGGCTAGCCCTTTTGAAACTCGCTAAATTCTGATTGCTGGCGCCCAGCCCGACCCTGTCCGGCTTCAGCGGGTGCGCGGTTGGCCCTGCGGTTCGCACCGTCTCCAGACACGCGGCTCGCGCCGGATCGCGCTCCCCGGGCCGCTGGGCCAGCCTCTTGTCGCCCTCTCCCTGCGCCGACTCCGAGACCACCGGCGGGATGCGGAGATGCCCAGCCCCGCGCCAACAACCCCGCGGCTGAGCGCGCTCCGGCCGCCGGAAGTGTGCGTGCTCGCGTCGACGTCGGCGTCACGTCCGCGTCGGTCGAGACGGGAACAAGATGGCGATCCCGGGCCGGCAGTGAGTGATGCGGGAGTTAGGGTCAGGTGGGGAGTGAGGAGCAGGGAGACCCGGGCGTCCGAGGTGGCCGGAAGTGCAGGGCCTCGGCCGCCAGGGGTAGAGGCGGGCGAAGGCGAGGACTCCCGAGCAGCGTAGATCCCCCGTCCCCGCCCCGTCCATCTTTTCAGGACGCAAGCCCGAAGTTTGAGAAACTTGTGAGGACATAGAGGAAGTTAGGCTGAGGGGGACTTTTCTGTTTTCCAAAAGCTCGGTCTGAGGCCCCTCAGTCTAGCTTCCTACCCCGCGCTTGAGTCTCTCCCGGTTGGCAACGCTCAGGGGCACTGAGAAGAGAAACCCCGGTTTCTTAGAGGGCCTTGTTCTCCCTGGGAGAAGCCGCAGGCCTGCTCGCCCTCCCTTCTGGTGTTAGGAGTGGTGCTGAGAAGCCGCAGCAGAGAGAGGGTAGGCACGTAGGAGACCCGGGTGTCCGCTGCTGTCAAATCACCAGTACTGTGTACGTGCCTGGACGTTTTATCTTGGGCGTGCAAACTTCTGACGCTACGTCCCGCGGCTCCAGCATTTTAACAGCCAAAATCGCGAGAAACGAAATGAGTTGAATGTGATGATGGTTCCCAGGCGCTAAGACAAAAGCACGTGAGGTCACTCAACGGTGGCGACTTGTTCGCAGACAAAAAAAAAAAAAAAAAAAAAGCAGTTGAGCCAAATAAGCGAATGGGAACTTGCCCAGATCTCTGCTTGGGGTTTACAAAAAGTTTTCTTGGGTTTCGTTATCCAGAACTGAGTACACAGCAGTGGGGGGAAAAATCAGAGGACAGTTTAGAGCGCTTTGATTTTTAGCCTGTTTGCAAGAGGGTGGCACTATCGAGTGCCTGTTGAAGATGACTGTCACTTGACTAACACGTGGCGGTATTCATTTACTTCTTTTCCTTAGTAAAAATAATGTTTGAGTTTGGCCCAGGTAGACAATAATAATTATAAAATCATAACAAATTAGAATTTTGAGATCATTACAAAGCAGCAAGTCCATTAGGTGTATATAGGTTGTATGACATGTTTTAATTTGGGAAATTCAACAGGAAGAAGTGTGTTAATGTTTTAACATTTAAAGATAATGGTCTGATTTCTATTTCAAAAAAATACGCAGGTATGGGCTTTTATTGCCGAAGAAAACACAGCCCTTGCACCGAGTTTTGCAAAAACCGTCAGTGTTCGGGAATGATTCTGATGATGACGATGAGGTAAGGGAACCTATGTTTTTAACTCTTGCATTAATAGAACAGTTTTAAAAACTGCTTGTGAATTTGTGTCTTCACCTTTGTCGTTTGTCAGTACAGTGGCTGTGGAGTATCATGTGCAGACCCTTCAAAAGGAGTGTTTAAGAGAGAGTTTCTCTGCAGTTTTCTCTATGACTTAAAGTGACTCCCTATAAACTTACTTTTAGATAGCTTTTTATACTCCTTCTGGACACAAATGTCGATCCCTCAGACTTGTTGGCAATGTTTCTAGGAATGAGCTAGGATGCTACCAGTTTCCTACAAGTTTTCTTAAAGTAATTCCTAATGTGTTAACTGATAGAGGATGACAGTTTCTTTGCGAAATGGTTTTTGTAGTTATTCCTTCAGTGTCTGTTAAATGTAAGCACTTTGTTGTGCTATTGAATACAGTTAGTTTTGAGAAAACTGTAGTATCTAATATAAACATTTTCTGTTGTAGCAGCAGGAGTAGTGTTTGTCCCTGAACCCAGGTGTTTGGCTTGGTTTGGTTTCTGTTTTTTGAGACAGGGCTTCTCTGTGTAGCCCTGGCTGTTCTGGAACTCACTCAATAGACCTGGCTGGGCTGCCTCTACCTCCCCACTGCTGGGATTAAAGGTGTGCATCACACACCTGGATGAAAACCAGGTGTTTTTAATTTTTTTTCCAGAAACAACCCTGCTTGTGAGTTTATCTTAACATTAAAGTTGTTTATTCATGTTTCTCAAAGTCTATTGAATCAGATTGATCTGTCACCTCTTTTGCTCTGGCAAAAAACAAAACAAAACAAAACAACAACTTTCATTTTAGACTTTTCTAATTATATATTAGCACAGGTAGATACTTTGGGTTTTGTTTGTTTGTTTGCTTTTTTATTTTGAAAAAATTGATTGTATTTACCTCATGGTTTTTTAAAATTTAAGGTTAAATTTCTATATAGAATTGCAGATTTTTATTAGCACAATTTGTTGTTTTTTTTGAAACAAGACCTCCATATGTAACAGGCTGGCCTACAACTCATTGTATAGCCCATACTGGCTTAAAACTCACCATCCTCTTGCCCTGACTGCCCTCGAAGCCCTAGGAATCAGGCTTGTGCTGCCATGCCTGCCAGAGCCCATGAGCTCTGCAGCTGTCGCCAGCGTGCTTGATCTCGTGTGGTGACTTTATCAGCTTGGCGGGCAACATCATGAACAGACGCTCCCTGACCTACCTTGATTCAGGTTATGAGCTTTTACGTTTATAATGCAAAAGCAGCGTGCATTTACCAAAGGTACAGTTGGAGTTTTTGTCTTCCTGAACTATGGCACTCTCCTGCACACTGGGTAAGGTTACTGGGCCAAAGGTAACAGCCACGGGATCATGAGGGTGAATAACCTGTCTACAATACCGTGTGGTGCTAAGCTGTTATGTTTGGAAGGCTACGATGTATTATTAAATATATTTTGTTGGTGGTATTTTGTTTTTGTTTTGAGATAGGCTCTCGTTTATGGCCTTAGCTGGCCTGGAACTAAATGTGTAGACCAAGCTGGTTTTGGACTCACAAAGCTCTGCCTGCCTCCGCCTCCTGCGTGCTAGGATTAAAGGTGTACATTTCAACACCCAGCAATAATAAATGGTGTTTGTTTGTTTGTTTTCTAGGATACCTAGGCTTTTCAGGATCTAATCCTGTTGTAAACAGAAGGCCATCTGCAGAGTGTTGCTTTCAACCAGTTTAGAGTTCATTGATAGAGACACATGCAAACACTAAAGCAGACTGAAATTTGGAAAGAAAATTTAATTACTGAGGTTTCCTGTGTGCCTGCTATACTTTGATAAATGTATTGTTTTAAATTTACAGATGAAGTTGAAATTCAAATAGATTAAAGAAATATTCCATTATTAGTCTATGTAGCTAATAAGTAAATGGCAAGATTATGATTTGAACACCAGAGACAGCAAGATGGTTCAGTCCATAAGGCACCTGCTGCCAGCCTGGCAAACTGAGTGCAATTTACAGACCCTCATGGTGGAGGGAGAACTGGCTCTCAATTTGTCCTCTGACCTCCATTTGCGTGTTCTGGTACCCGTATAGCCACACACACACAAACACATAAATAAGTGTGATAATAAGATTTGAATACATCAGAGTCTCAAACCTACATTTTTTTTCTATTATTTTTTGCTTTATTTTAATAATAGAAATTTAAAATGTTAGTGAAATATAGAGGACAAAATTATTCATTTTGCTGAAAGAAAACCAGGCAGGAATAGGCATTTAAACAGCTTTCAAAGCTGCTTTAGATTTGAGTAAAAAGAGAAACCAAAGAACATAAACTATAAGGCATTGTTTTTTGTGGAATAATGTGTTTAGAAAAGACAGTGTATAGAGGAAGGATTGTTGCAGTGAGGTTTTTAACAGGTTGGGGCCAGATTGCGGACTATCTTGCACTGTTGCTGTGAAATGTCAGCTTTACATTTCCAAGTAGCTTTTGAGTGCTATGTTTAGTTCACGTAGTGATGCCATCCCATTTTTATCTTGTGTTCATCTTGAGAAGGTAACTCTCAAATTGTGAAGCACAAAAGTGGAGAAAGTCTGAGGTTGGAGACTCAAGGGTTAATTTTAAGGCCAGCCTGGGCTGTAGGTATAACAAGATCTTGTCTCAGAGAAATGAGCATGGGGAGAAGACAAGATTAGAGTCAAGGGTCTTGTTAGAAGTCTTATGTGGTAGTTCAGATAGGAGATGAAGATTTAAGCTTTGGTTTCCAGGTTAGTGGGCAGGACCAGGCAGCCCAGTGATGTACGGGAAAGGAACAGATGGCGTTAAGGATTTATTTTATATTTATTTATTTTCTTTATATGTACATGTGTGCCATAACACACACATGAAAGTCAGAAGGCAACATGGGGGAGTCAGTTTTTCCTCCATTATGCAGGTTCCTAGAATTGAGTGCAGGTTTGCGAATGTGGCAGTAGGCGCCTTCACCTGCTGAGCTATTTCGCCAGCCCCACCTAAGGATGTCTGTTTTAGGGACCTGGGGTTAACATGGGATGCAGGGGAGAATTGACATACACTGTGTGGGTTTTTAGGGCTCTGGAAAAGTAGGTGTAATTTTTTATTTTTTTATGGAGTGTGTAAAGTTTTGTAATTATTCATTTTGTGTGTATGTGAGTAGGCACCCTGTTGCCAGGGCACTGCATGCCAGTCGTGGGACTACTTGTAGGGCAGTTGCTTCTCCTGCTCTGTCAATTCCAGGGATCAAACTCAGGTAGTCAAACATGGTAACAGACACCGAGCCCTCTGAGCCATCCCCCTTGCCCACCTCTCCTTTAAGAAAAATGTGTGTATGCATGGAGAGGACCTAGACCCCCTGCTCAGATGTGGCCCATGGGCAGCCCAGTCTCCATCGGGGTTCCCTAGTAAGGGGAGCAGGGGCAGTCACTGGCATGAACTTGGTTGCCTGCTCTTTGATCAACTCCCCTGGGCAAGGTGGCCTAACTGGGCCACAGAGAAAGAGGATCCAGACAGTCCTGATGAGACCAGCTAGGCTAGGGGTCAGGTAGTAAGGGAGGAGGACCTCCCTTATCAGTGGAGTAGGGAGAGATATAGGGAGGAAGAGAGAGGGACTGGGAGGAGATGAGGGAGGGGGCTACAGCTGGGATACAAAGTGAATAAATTGTAAATAATAATAATAATGAAAAAATTATATAAATCTTAATTCTTACCTTCAGATTACAAGAGATAGTTGTATTTAAAATTAGGTTAAACAGCTAGAGTTTCTGGTCTTAATGTGTACATTTTTGAGCCATGTGAAATGTATTTAAATATGAAGAAAGCAATGGTGATATAGTTTTAATGAGTCTGCTTTTTGTCTCAGTAACAAGTACTAAAACATCATTTCCTCACATTTCCTACCGACCGGTTTTTCCTGTGATGTTCAATAGCTCATTGAGTCTCATTCCTTTTGATAACACAAAACTTAATATTCATGTCGGGGAGTTGTACTTTTAAATGTAGTTTTTCTTGTCACCTTTCATTGACTATTTCCTTTGACATTTTCCACTGGCTGTCTCACAAGAATAAATTTTAATTTGATCATATTTAAGGAAAAAAGAAAAATGTGTGTGAGTTCCTCTGCCAGGCGCACGCGGGAGGGCGGCTTTTGAGAGGTGGCCTGTCCAGTGTGTGCAGTGGCCTGGCCTGGCGCACTCTCCTGCCCTTGTTTCTCATGTACTTACAGAGCACTGGGATTGCAGGTGAGGACCACCACATTCCACATTGTTAGTTCCAGGGACCGGGCTCGGTTGTCACAGTGTGTGGCGAGCGCCTCGCTGACCAGTTTCCCCTGTTAAGAAAAGAATGCAGTATGGCTGACATGCCATGTACGTCTGTTTTAATTTTAAAATGACGTCTATTTCGTTTACGTATTTGTGTATATGTGTGTGTCTGTATGTCTGTGTATGCCATCGTGCTTGTGTGGTGGTCAGAGAGCAGCTTGTAGGAGAGGGTTGTCACCTCCCACATGTCGGTCCTGGTCATCAGGTTCGGGATCCCCAGCCTGCTGCACCCGTTTGCATTGTACAATCATCTCTATGTCATTTTTAATAGTTTTATACCCAGCAAGAAAAAATGTACCCGTTGTAGTTGCTCTCCAAACCTTGGTCACCTTTTACTTCTGTTTATGTGGGGTCTTCTATTCTGACAGTTTACAGAAATGGACTTGTTCAGTAGGGGTCGAGGACACAGAGTTTTCTCTGATTTCTTGTAAGTTAACATAAATATTCTTAAAGTTATAATGTGTCAGTATTTCACACCCCTTTTCATTCCTTTCTTTAATTTTTAACATTTTTTATTCTTGGCGATGCTGCAGGTGGAACTTGGAGCCTCACACATGGCTACTTTGTATTTATTTTATTTTTTTAAAGATTTATGTGTATGAATATCTATGTACCATATGCCCATGAGAATCAGTAAGTATTAGCTCCCCTGGAACTGGAGCTACAAATG